ATCATCACTTGCCTCTAACTGTGTTGAGTTGTTAATTAGTGTCACATAGTCTTGCTTATGTGTTTTTTGACACTGAATGGCATACTGTTGTTTATAAAAATGGACCAAATTGCAGATAAGGCTTCAAGATAAACATTAGCTGCTGGGTTTAAATTAGTTCAGAGTCTCAGCACTACTGGAAGCTCTAATTTCAATACATTTCCTCAGATATCCTAGACATTTCTAAGTTTATGTAGACAACATGTTCTGTTTGCAGAGTGTATATGTGGATGATTTATCCGTACATTTTTATTGTAGCCAATTTTCATTACATCACACACACACACTATCTGTGCCGCTTATCCTTCTGGGCTGTGAGGGGGTGCTGGACCCTATCCCAACAGTCATTGGTGGAAGGCAGAAAACACCCTGGACAGGTCCATCACAGGGCAGACAGACAGACATATACACACACACACACACACTCACACCTAGGGGCAATTTAGCATGTCCAGTTGGCCTGACTGCATGTCTTTGGACTGTGGGAGGAAACCAGAGCACCCGTAGGAAACCTACACAGACACAGGGAGAACATGCACACAGAAAGGACCCTGGACGCCCAACCAGGGAATCGAACCCAGGCCCTTTTTGCTGTGAGGGCGCCGTGCTACCCTCATTACATAACTGATGTAAAACTTTTAAAAAATGCTCTTTTTGAGACTTATATTTTCGTGTTCTTGGTTCCGAGAGGTACGCTTAATTTCCTATTTGCTTTGACAAAAACTAATTGAAATTTAAAACAAGTTAAATAAATCTCACATTCATTATAAATTTTCAATACTGCTGCAGAGTCAAACATTTTAGTCTACAACAATTACAAAAAATGGCCGCAAAATTCTGGTGGGTCTGATTTAGGCACACAGTTTGCACAGTACTAACAGGATAAGGGTGGAAATTGTGAATGTTTGATTTTTCGTCTTAAGTAACCAGACTTTTAAAAAGGACCTCATCTTTTCCAGATTAAGCCTGCGTATGCTGCGTCTGCCAGCGAGGTGGTGAAAGAGCGAAAGAAGCCGAAGGTGGAGAGCAAAACGTCCTCCGAGGGGTCAGCGGCGGCCGAGAACGGGCTGGAGGTCCGTGAGGCGGAACAAGTGAATGGAAACAAAGTGGACAGCAGGGGTCCCCACCAACCGGAAAGTGCCTTTAGCAACGACTCTAAAATGTGCAATATTAATCCTCATTTAAATGCACTAAATGCGGACAGCGAGCGCCACAGAGACGAAGCTGTGGACGCCTCTGTGTTAAAAACAGAAGAGTAAACCTATTTTTATAGAGAGGGCGAAGGATGTTGGAAGGTTCAGGGTTAAGGAAAATCCAGAAAGATGGAAAGCCTGCAGTTGGTGAACATTTTTTCCTCTCCGAAAAGTGATAAATATGAGGACTTACTGTATGAAATTTTTAAAGAAATCCCTCTTTGATGTCAGCGAGTTAAAAACAGCGAGTAACGACATTTCTCAGTTTAAAAAAAAGATAAAAAAGCTACATAAAGACGTAAAGTATACCAGTTTCTTAGAGAATAATACCAGTATAAGGAGTTAAGGCTACTCCCTCCTCACTGATATATTTACCTGTTTCAAGACTGGTTACACAGACATTTTATTTTACGTTCTCTTGAATTGCTGAAGCCGAGAAAACCTTCATTTGGCAGTCGTTTAGTATCTTATAGGTTGAGATGTTCTACCAGTACTTGGCACCATATATATATTTGCCATTGTAATTGAATTTGTGTTGTGTCACAGTAAATGCTTTTTTTTTCCTTTTAAGAAGTAAAACTCACAACAGAAAAAGAGAGAGAGCAAGAATACATTTCTCACTTGGGTCATCACTGTGGGTTTACTTGTGCTAAAAAAAAAATTAAAATAACGTGCAGAATTGTTTGGAAATTAAGTAACTAGTATATAAATACTGCAGCTTTAGGTTCTAATGATCAGTGTCATACTTTAGCGTTGTAAGAAACATCAAGAAACAGACAAATCGCAGAATGATCCGATGAAAAAACACCAGTGTTTTCTTTGTCAGAAATTGCCATGCACCAGTGATCGATTATCCGTGTGGTTTCTTGAATCAATTGTAGAACATTAGTACGACGGTTTCAGCAACTTTTCTGCATGGTTTCACGGTTAAAAACAAGTGTGTAGTTATTATGCATGTTGTCCTTTTTCTTCCATCTCTACAAGTACTGTGCCCATTTGCAAAATCTTAAAAATGGCTAATAATCAGTAATAGTCCTATAAAAGGTGTTAACTGTTAGTAACTGATTTGCGCTAACCTTTAAATTTTTGTGATTATTGACCTCTGTTGCATTTACTCAAAATAAAAAAGTATCAGATGTTATCTAGCCACTTTAAATATTGTTAACCCTGGTGTACTCATCCATCTCTGTATCCATTCTTGTTCTTCGTTGCTGTTTTTTCTGCATTCATATTAGCAAAAAAACCAAAAACATCTGTCTGGGGATAAAAAAAAAGAAAAAAAAGCTTTGATCTTCAAACGCCCCTCTTTTCTTAGCCTGAAACAAACGAAACGTATGACCCTCCCATTTGAGAGTTTAGCGTAAGCAGGTAAACTTGTAATCATTTTCGGTGTTTACTTTAGTGTTTTCGGAGCTTATTCTACTTCTGAACGAGAATCATTACTTAAAAAGTTTTCCATCTAATCCTCCTGATGCTTTTCATTGCACATTAGTGATCAGAAATATGGTGTATTCCCCTGCCCGCAAGACTAAATAGGTTACCTTAATGTAAGTTGATCGGAGTTTTTTCCTAACTCATGGGGTGTAAAAGAATGATCTACTGTTGGGTTTGAGTGATTGTTGATGGATTGTGGTGTGATGTATTTTGAAGGAAATTGAATGCAACTTACAATGCTTAATAAAAGTCTTTATTCTTTTAGTATAATTTTTCTGTGTGTGGGCTATTTTATTGGAGTTAGGGCTTAATGATTTAGGACATTTAACATCATGTTTATTTTAGTGCTGTCATAATTAATTGATTTAAAACCTGGATTTCTTTAAAAAAATCAGTTAAAATTAAAATTGAAGATTTGCATGATAATGCACACTGTAAATTCGCTTACTGGTCCCTCTTAGAAAAGCAATACAGTTTTGTGTATATACAATATATATGAGATATATACAAAATACAATACAAGATATTTTTTGCCCTACTATATATATAGGACAATAACAAAAACGTAATACTATAATATAATTTCTATATATAATTAATAACAAAACGACTTTAAAAAACTAAATAATAAAAATAATACAAATAAACAAAAAATATATTAAAATGTAAAATAAAAAGACAACAAAAATAAAAAGAACAGAATTCCAAAATCTATTTTTATTATTTGTTTTTTTTTTTTTAAATGTGATTAATGATCAAAATAATAAACAACAGTTTACTACCAGTTCACTAATATAACCAATAGTGAAAGCCCTTCTTTATTTACTTGTCTCATATCCATTCCGTTCGTCTTCACGCCTTATATTATATATTTTTAGAGACGGTGTGCGCCACCTACTGGAGGATACACTATTCATTTTTCTGCGCACTAACTCAGCAGAACCGGTTCTTTTTCTTTACTGTCAATACTTGTATCATTCAAACTTTGTTAATAGTTACATTACATAGTAAAATACAATTTATATATATATATATATATATATATATATATATATATATATATATATATATACACACACCATGACACATGGCGCTAGTCAATAGATTTAGTGTTTTAGTAGCGTATGAAGCCAAACTGCAAAAAAAAAAAAGCTGTAGTTTTAAATTCCAATCCTATTCAAAGAATTGTATATACACTACAATTAAAAAGTTTGGAATCAATGTTTTCAGTAATATAAAACAAATTTGGTTTTACATGTATAAAATAAACTGTGCATTTTAGTCATATGACCTCACAAGTTTTAAATTACTAGAAATTAAGAAATCTGAGCTGCATCAATGACTGAAACACTGAGAAAGACGAAATTAATTTAAAAAAAAAAGTATTATCATTATATTATGCATACATAAATAATATTATAATTACATATATGTCGTATTATTATTGCTAATACATGGACGTAATTATATATACATAACATTGTAATATATATATATATATATATATATATATATATATACACACATTATATTTATATCCACATTACAATGTTACGTATATATAATTACGTCTATACATACACATATGCAGTAATGTGTATACGTTTTAAGCATTTATTATTTAAATATTATTATTCTTATATTCTTATTCTATATCTTTAAAATAAATAAAAAATAAACACAAATACAGCAAAAAACTATAGTTCCAGATTTCTCCAGCCATCACATGGATTAAACTTTAAATTTCACATGGTTAAATTTTATGTCCAGCTGATTTAAGAATTCGTGATTAGCCAAACCAATAATAACTGCAAATATTACAAATATTAACTGTACTGACACGAACAGAGCTGCGGGAACGGTTAAGCGTACACACTGACTTGTGTAAAATCACTACTTATTCTATTAACGTTTTTTGTATTTATTCTAATAAGAGTGTTATTTTCGAGGAAATAAGCTCTTACTGCTCAGATAATACATCTGTCGCTCCACAGCGTTAGCTACGTCTCCTGCAAGCGTCGTGTAAATCCTGCAATTTGTGTAGCTCCTCCCGCTGCTTTAACTGTGATTTCCTTCAGCATTAAAAAGTTCCCTAACGTCTCCACACCCCCACATACACACAACATACGCCCCCCTTCCCCCTTCACCCAGCACACACACACACACCCTCTCCACCACTCCCCTGCTAGACCCTCGTCCCGCTCGGATATGCATACACACTCGCCCTGAGGAGCTCCCCAGCGTTCGCTGCTATTGCATTGAGGCTTTTTTTGCCTTCCTGCCCCCCCCCCTTCTCTCTCTCTCTCTCTTTCACTCACTCTCTCTCCCTCCTCTGCTGTTGTGAACGCTGATCTAACATGGCGACCGTGCCCGTGTATTGCATCTGCAGGTTACCGTACGACGTAACCCAGTTCATGATCGAGTGCGACGCCTGTAAGGACTGGTTCCACGGCAGGTAAATACGTCTGCCCTTTTTATTTCACACCCACTTCTTTATCTTTACCTCCCCCTGCCTCCGTTTAGAGGGCTGTATCTGTGTAGTTGCCCTTATTCGCCTGCTTCTTGTTCGGATTTTCCCGTTCCACCTTAAATGGTGCAGCAGTTACATTCTGGCGCCTCGGGCTCTAGAATGTAACTGCTGCACCATTTAAGGTGGAACGGGAAAATTCGAACAAGAAGCTGGCGAATAGGAAGCCAACTTCAGCCCCGTCTCCCATCTTGTGTTTTTTGTGTGTATTTTTTCCTCCTCCGTCCCTCCAAGGCCCTCAGTTCCCCTTCAGCTGGCGACTTGTTTTTGTTTACCTCCATATTCTTATTTACCACTCGGCGGGGGTCTGCTTCGTGAAATATCCCCCTTTTGAGCCCCGTTTCGGGCTTTTTGAAGCGCTCTTCAGACTCCGTTGTGACTGAGCGTATGTGTGTATGCTAAAGGCTGTGCTAATGGCTGTGGGTGGCTCTGCAACAACATTGCAGAAAGAAAACAATGCTTTTCACTGCACATTTCTGTCGATGGTGCGCGTTTGGGCTCCTCGGCGTGCGGTGCTGTGCCTCCTGAGGTATTTGGCGCCCGTTCTGTGGGTATTTTGGACCTTTTTGCAGCTCTTTTCTGGGGCATCTTGCCCTCGAACACAAGCGACAGCTCCGAGGAATAATAGCCTGCCTGTGCCAGACATTGCAGGTTTTATCTCTCGGCACAAGCCGTGCATATGCTCGACATGCTCTCATGCGTCCTTCACCACTCGTTACTGATCAGATTGATCGGCTACAAACTCTATTCGGTGATTAATCGGTGCATCTGTCTCTGCTCTCCTCTCCCAGCCGCTGACAGCAGCATGCAGGGCTCGACAGGGGAAATCAGTTTAGCGGCTTGCATTGCAAGGATGTTAGCTTGTTATTTGTCACGCTTTTTAAAATGTTCTCTCCCGATAAATAAAGGGATTGTACGCGGTAGCGTGATGGAGACGCTTTTGCCTGTAAAAGCTCGGTGTTAATGGAGAGCATGCAGTAGCCTTGCAGTTCATTGACTGAGACATTTTACGCGCCTACCGTTTTAACCCTTTCGGGGTCGCAGCGCTGATTAGACCAGCACATACAAGCATTTAACCTACATTGACATCGTATGGCCAGAAGTTTGTGGACACCTGCTCAGTCAAAGTTTCTTTTGAAATCGGGATTTTCGATTGAGGTCGTCCGATATTTTTTTTCAGCGCTTAGAGCGATCTGATCATCAATATTTGGGGCAGATATTTACCACAAATATGGTGTTTGTAGAGTGAAAATGTACAAGAGTGAAACTTTTACTCACAACTTACATTATATGGATATTTGAATATCATAAAAATAAATGCGTTGAGCTTTAGACAGTACAGGTGGCAAAATTACCTTGCAAAAAAACATTTTAGGTAACACTATTTGGAGTGGTTCTTTGTAGATGATTAATAAACTCTTAACAAGAGTATTAGTAACACATCAATAACATATCAGTGAAACAGAAGTAGTGCAGCATCGGAATATATTGAGGTAAATATCTTGAAGATGTACTGTTGATACATTACTTACATTAAGTAGATGTATTGTTGACATAAACACCTAACCCTAACCCTGGCCCTAATCCTAACCCTGAGTTTAACCTCAACCCAAAATCTAATCCTAAACCTCGTATGTTTTTGACATGTTACTGAGAGTCTGTTGGGTGTTTGTTTCATTTAAAAAAAGACCTTTCAAAATAAAACTGTCACCACATTTTAAAGTTAGCTTCAAACAGATAAAAAAAAAACTTAAATAGCTCTCAAGAAAGAAAAAGGAGCTCAAAAAAGTGGCTCAATAAACTTTAAATAAAAAAAAAAAACAAATATTTAACTTTTCACTTTTTGTAAATATAAAACAGATTGTAAATTTGATATTACTTCAAGACATTTTTACAATACAACATACATCACTATATATATATATATATATATATATATATATATATATATATATATATATATATATATATTATATATATATTTTTTTTTGATATTTAATAAAATGGAACCTGTAGTGCCACATTTAACAATACTGTAATAGCAGTAATAATAATAAACCTACAGCTGCAGTGACTTTTATTCCATGTTTAACACACTGCACTGCACTAAATTCAGTTAAACAGGACTAATTATGTTCACTTTTTTAAGTATTGACAATATCCATGTTATGCTCAGGAAAGTGTACTGTGACAGTTTATCACTATATCGGTACAATATTGTCATATTGCCCGGCCCTAGTACATAGCATGAGTCACTGACCTATGGGTTGAAAGGGCACACATCATGGGTGGGTCTTGCCTTTGCAGTGTATGGGTGCAAGCTAGAAAGCCTAGGTACAGGTTAATGACTATAAAGACTACACTGACCAACTGTAACTGTAACCCCAGTAGAAATATTACAGTAAGCTGTATCTGAATCATGCAGTGAAAATTGTCACTGCTTTATAAAAAGCAACAAGAGTGAGAGAATATGAACGTGAATGTCCTTATTTCATCTTGTTGTTCAATGTAAGAAAAGCTTACATGCAAGAACAAGTAGTAGTGTTGAATGTATAAGATGTTTTCTGTGCAGCATCATTCAATGGAAATGGCCTGTTCAGCCCAAGCAGAGTGGTGGAAGTAGCAAGCTGCAGCTGTCTGTGCTTTTAACAAGTGCACATACAAATGAAAATGAGCAGAAAATGTGTATAACTTACTTATTAAACATGAAATGATATGTTATGAGTTTATAAATAATTCACTGCTTTTTGGAGGCCTGTCTGCATAGTTGGCCCAGCGAAGCTCCAAGTGAAACTATTCCGAACACGTTCAAACTCCGAAAAAAGCAGTCCGGGTCCGCATGGCATGTCAGCTCCAATGCACAGGAACCTCACTCTCACCAAACAAATGTGATGTTTCGGGCAGGGCTCGAGCTGCGCACATGGGTCACGTTTGTTTGGCTAGAGTGAGTAAAATTATATGACAGAGTGGATTGTGCTTTTTGCCAACTCTTGACATGTTCTTACCTTTCCTGTCACCATAGAAGTGAAGGCAGGCATGGCTTATTCCCACGTCTCTCACAAAACCGAAACCACAGTTGGTTAGATTTACTCGACATGTGGTCCACATTTCTACCACATTTCTACTAGTACTGTGGGACATTGATGTGAGTGGGTATTTTTTGATCATGCTTGCATCAGATATGCACACATTATTTTCTGTGGAGAGTAGACAAACCGTCCGTCCACACTGAACGCCTGTGTCACTTGATGGAGCGCCTGTACACTTTTGGACATGCAGTGTATCTCCATTGCATTTCATTCAGGTCCGTCGCCCAAAGTGGTGCATGCAGTGTCCTTTTTCTCAGCCTAGCCTCTTCTGAAAGTGGTTTGTAAATGCTTAGTTATACTCAAGGCTCTTTGCTGGCTAGTTGACAGTACTGTCCTCAACACTGATTCTGAATGTTCAGATCATTTTTAAAAGCTGTAAGCGGAGAATATAAGGTGAAGAGGGCCAAGTCATGCACACAGGACATCAGTGAGCTTGGTGATATTTCTGGCCAGTGGCCTGTGGGGATGTACATGTGACAACCTGCACTGCTTGTGTGCAGATGACGTGTTGTTAGTAAAACACCTGAGCATATCTGGTGTTATTTGTACTTTGATGCTGTCTGATCAGTGCTCAGCAGATAGGAACGGTTTTTGGTAGGGATGTGCAGATATTCAACATTTTTCATGTATATATCTGCTGATGTTGATGCATAAACATTTTTACAATGTATAAACTGGGACTGCATCTGTCTGGATTAGCACTGAGGAGAAATTTAACATTCTTTACTACTAGGTAACAAATGTACACATCTGTAAATGTAAACATCTGTGCGATGGTGTTATTTTTTAAGCAATTATCTGCCGATGCCGATATGACTCCAGTATCATTGTTCGTCCCTTTATGATACTAAAAGGCACTTTCACAATACATGAAATGTACCACAATATTTTGGCAAACGGACGCAATGCACTTATAGTGCCGCCATCAAAATCTCTTGGCACTATGATTTTTATTTGTTTCACATGACATGCCAGGCTAAACCCAGTTAAACCAGATAAATATGTTTTCTTTTTAATGAAACATGCAGTTGCTCAGAAATGCATATTGTTTATCATGATAGTAAAATTGATCACGATAATGCATATATTGTCATATTGCCCACCTCTAAGACAGACAGATTTGTGTCTTCCTGTGTCTGTGTTTTATGTAGCTGTTACTGCTGATGTTAAACTATATTTAGCTTATGTTTGATTGCTGAGTTTGAACATGATACACATATTTGGTATCCTCTTGAGTGTTTCTTAACAATTACTAGAACCACCTGTTACTTGGCCACCCAAGTATACAGTGTTGATTTTTCTTTTGTACAGATTGATTATAAAACTGGAAATCTGCTGCTGGTGGTGTGGTGCTCCCAGACCGGGCGTAGTTAGACAGCAAAATGGCACATTTTCCTATATTTTAATATTCCTGAAAATTCAGGCCTGCAAAATGACGTCTTCCACTGTTATCAGTCTGTTAAACTGAACAGCTTCACCTTTTAGTTTTGAGCATTAACCGCAGTATCTGCTAGTCTCTGTTGTTATATGCTGGGTTTGTCGAGTCTTTCTGGTGTGCCTGGTGTTCTGGTGTGTTAGCGGTGCAGGACACTGACAGGCAGAATGTTTAGCACTGATCTATTATGTGCTTAATAGAATGGAAAAGATTAGTTTACCTTGCGACAACTAGCATAACGCATCTGTGTTATTTGTTACATAAAGGAAATGATGCTAGTGCTGTGTGATTAATTTTTGCATTTGATTTTTTTATCCAGCACTCTTGCGTGGCATTTAACCTGTTAGTCTGCCCTTATCATTCTCTAATGTGTTTTGTAGTTTTCTTCTAGCAGGTGAGATGCG